AAATAAAAAGTCCTTTTCTCATTTCTAGCATTTTTTAAATTATTATATATTGGTGATTTGGGTGCCCTTGCTCCAATAGTTTGTATCGCTTATTGTTGCATAGTTCTAAAAATATTTTTAAATAAACTCACCATTAATGAATTAGCCCAAAGGTTATAATGTTTAGCTGGAAAGTGTTCACCGGATAATCACCTGGTTGGTTGTTTTGTTCTCCAGTTAATATCAGGCACCAAATATTTATTTTATAAAAGAAGATAAAAATTATAGTTTCTACTAAACAACATCAGTAAACAGTAAAATCTATTTTACTGTAAAATATATAAAACACATTAACACAGATATGAATGGCAACTCTTTTTAGATGATGCGCTACAGTAATATATTACTGAGGACAGGCTTAATAGTCATCATTCTCTGTGACTTTTCCTGACCCACAGCATTACAGGGACCAACTAGAGGGCACAACACTACAAATCAGGATTTTCAGAGTACCCTTCATAAGATTCTACTTGGATAGCATGGTCTGCTATACTCAAATAAAAATTCTTTACATAATTTGGGCTTTTTCTAAAATATAAATCACTCTTAACATATGTTAAACCCTAAATGCATTTAATTATACATGAGAAGTTGCAAAAAACATTTAAAGATCTCAGAGGTTAAAAATATATTTTATGCTGGCAACATTTTTCATAATTAATAATGTACTAGAAAAGAATGTAAACTGTCATTAGACTATTTGAATTTGAATTTTGTCTCTCATTTTTTGTTTGACCTTGGATAAGTTACTTTCTGTGTTTAAGTGTCTTCATCTTTAAAACAGAACTGATTATATATATCCCTACCTCTTAAGATATTATGAGCACTAGATACGTCAAGTGTTTAAAATAGTGCTGATAAATAATAAGCCTATTAAAATGTTAATTATTCTTATTAATGCAATGGTAACATTTTAATAAAAGCAATGGCTTAGAACATTTCTTTATTAGTAAGACAGAGCATACATTTTAAAACAAAATATCGTATTTATTTGGATAGAATTCTACTTGAAATGAGCAATGAATATCCTTATATCACCATAATTTATCAAATAGTAAAAATTTATAAATAATAACTTGAGAAGACGTTCCAATAAGAATAAATCTAGAAAAAATTGCAATATGAATTTTTAAATATAAAAATTGTTATAGCATAACAGGAAGTAAAAATAAAAAGAGGTAAAAATATACTTGGCTTATTACATGATGTAAGTTTTATCCTCAAAGGTCCTTGCTATAATATATAAATAAGAAGAGCTGAAAAATGCAAAGTGAAAAATGTATTCTCATATAACTAAAAAATATTTTAAATAGCTGGTTATTAATATAATCTGAAACGCAAGACTTTTTTTTAAAGAAAATAATATATCTCTAGAGGATAAATTGATATGCAAAAAGTGAAGCGGTACCATTCCTGCTAACACAGGTTAAAATTACTTCTTAAGTTAATTAGAATATTTAATGCAATATAAAAGTAACATGAGATTTTTAGATCTTATTAAATTAATACTATATTTAATCTAGAAAAAGTAGGAAAACATAACAAAGGATATGTAAATGTCTTAAAAAGCAATAATGGTGTTGCTGCCTTATCAAAATTCATACTCTACTAACAATGAGTGATTGAAATAAAATTATATCATATTAGGTTAAATCAGAAAAACTGATTAATTGAACAGAAGGCAAATGCCACCAATACATGCATCTAATAACATATCATATTACTATTAATATTACAAATCATCCTTAAAATAGATTGTGGCAATTTATACTCCCCCAAAGTAAATGAAATCGTGTTTCTCCACAGCTTCCATGATTACCTAATGTTAAACCATTTTAAAGTAGCAAACCAACAAGTGAAAATGGTACTTCATATCTATTTTAAAAATTGTATTCATTTGATTACTATTGAGGTTGAAACTTTGCAATATATTTATTGGTCACTTAATTATTTTTAAAAAATTTTCTATTTTTTAAAAGTTTTGCAAGCACATAGTAGGTGTGTATGTTTATGGGGTACATGGGATGTTTTGATATAGATATGCAATGTGAAATAAGCACATCATAAAGAATGGGGTATCCATCCCCTTAAGCATTTATCCTTGAAGTTAAAAACAATCCAAATATACTCTTTAAGTTATTTTAAAATGTACAATTAAGTTACTGTCACCCTACCCTACTCTAACAAAGTTACAGTCACCCTACTCTGCTATCAAATATTAGGGATTCTTTGGTGAAATTCTTGTTACAGTTGTTTGCTCATTATTTATTAGACATTTATTTCTCTCATTGACTTGCATAGACATTTTAAAATATAAATTGCAAATGTATCTCCTAGTTTGTCACTTCGTTATCGGTTTTGATCAGCTTTCTGTAAAACATTTCAAATATCTAGAAATATATGGAGAGTAGAAATATATGGAGAATATCATGTTGTGGCTAATTGGAATGAAATTTTTGTGATAAAATATTGTATATTCATTTGAACCCTAAAATGTGGTATCTTTCCTATTTTTGTTCTCTATTCTGTGTGTGTGTGTATATATATATGGGTGTGGGTATGTTTGTGTATGTGTACATATATACACATACACATATATGTATACCTATATATACATACACAAACACACCCACACCCATATATATATATATATATATATATATGTGCTGCATATGTACATAATATATATTCTGGGTTTTACACTTAAATGTTTTAAAATTTATGTTATCATGGCTCATTGTATCATTCTTCACCCTGCTCTTGTTTTGTTTTTGCTCAATGCTTTACTCTTGGGATTTATCTTTGTAGAAGCATATAGAGGTTCAACTATTTTGACTATTATATTACATTTGTGATTATATTCCTATTTATTTGCAATTAATAAAAATTGTTGCACTACTAAAAACAACACTGCCATAAACATTCTTAGACTGCATAAGTTTATCACTAGGGTATATTCTGAGTGGTAGAAATTCTGGGCCAAAGGGCATGGGCATCTTTGACTTTACTAGTATGTCCAAAGAACAGTACAAAGTGTTTAGATCAATTTTGTCTACTGAAAATATATGGAGTTTTAAAAGCCAATTTTTAATATTCTTAAGTTTTGCATACCTGATTAGTTTAAAATAATGTACAATTCCTTGAATTTGCAATTCCTTATTTAGAGTAGCTTTTGATCTTTTTTTACTTCTAGAAGTTTTTTTTCTGGTAATTTCCTTATACAAACCCTTTGATGGTCAATTTTCCTGAAAACATGTTCTTTCTATGTATAACTTGACTTTTCAGAAGAATCTTTGGATTTAAAGAAGGTTACATTTAACATAGTTATCGCAATAATCTTTTTTATCATTTATACCTTTGTTCATCTTTAGATCTTTCCTTTTATCACAGTCATAAAGATATTCTCCTATATAGTTTGAAGTTTTGAACGTTTTGCTTTTTGTATTAAAGTTACATATCTACCTGTAATACATTTTCGTGTATGTAATGATGTAAAGATTTACTTTTTTTCCCTTATGGATAATAAATTGTCTTGCAGTATTTATTGAATAGCTCATCTTTTCCTACTTTTCTTAAAATAGAGGAGTATTTCTGTGCTCTTTATTTGCTTGTACTCTTTTGCTTTTTATCCCTACATGAATTCCATGCCAAAGGTGATTCAATTTCTATATAGCTCAGTAATGCCTTGATATCTCAAAGGCAAATGCCCCCATATTCCTTCTCTTTTTTTTTCTTCTTCTTCTTCCAAGTTTTCTTGGCTTTTATTTACCCCCTCATTCTTGTATTTGAATTTTGGAATTAGTTTCTTCATTTCCATTTAGAATGTAGGAATTTTGATTCAAATTGGTTATATTTCTTACATTGGATAGAATTGACATCCTTACAATGTTGAGTCTTCCCAGTTACCCATATGGTATATTTTCCATTTATCTAGGTCATATTTTGTGTGTTTAAATAATGTTATATAACTTCACTCTAAAGTTCTTGTGTGTATTTTTTCCCCAGTTATTCCTATGTACATTCGAATTTTTTGTTGTTATTGTAATGGAATAATTTTTTTTTCTATTTTTTTTGTTTGGTATCTCCTGTGTAAGGAAATACTAAGAACATGCATAAGTTTCTTGACCTTGCAACACTTCCATCCTAGTTAGAAGCTAATTTTTAGACTGTCCCCTATTTCCCTCAAAAAAGTAAGCAGCAGACGATAATAGGAGTAGGGATTACCACTGGCTTTACTTACACTTGTATCCGTCCCTTCCCTTACATGTGAATTTCTCTAGGTCAGGAACTCTTTTTGAATCAGTTATAAGTCCCAGAATGCCCACAACACAATTTAATATGTACTATTTAAAAAAAGAACAAACACTTAGCCCAGAACCTTCTGCCTAACATGTGCTCAATGACATTTGTAGAATCGAAATTCCTGAATTTGATTTAATTCAAACAATGCTTGCTCCTGCAGAATCCCAACCTACTGGTGAACAGAGGTTAAACTGTCTGGATGTTTCAGAGTTCTGCTAGGGGTCACAAATACCACCTTAAATGCTGTCAATTTAAGAAGGAGATTTTTCTTATCAGAAGCTGGAGGAAAGTGGGGCTTGCAGTAGATGACCCTAGAAAAAAAGATTGCCTGCCCAGAACTGCTGCTGGATCCTTTGATTCCCTCATTTCCCAACCTGGATGAGAAACGACAAGGGCAGGGAAGAAAAGTGGGTTAGAAGAAAAGTTGACTAGTCCCTCCTACTCTGCCTGTTACAGAAGTCTACACCAAGCCAAATGTCCTAGGATCTCCCAAGGGCAACTGATTTTTGGAGTTCTCAAATACGTCTTATAGAGTTTCCTCTATACCTTTGGTAACTCTCCAGCTCCCTCTCTCTCCACTCTTCCCTGCTCCCAGTCACCCCCACCCTCAACCCCCGCTGATCACATCCGCCCGGTACCCCCACAGGCTACCAGAAAACAACAGACACGCCTCCAGAGTCCCCGTCTAGGACCTCCATGACTGTCAATGAAAGATGCCAATCACAGGGAGCCTTAGCCAGATCACTGAGAGCCCAGCAAAAAAACAAAAACAAAATCAGGTTGAGGGCAGAAAGGAAATCAACATAGCAACCTCCAATGCATGAAGGAAACTCCGTTTACACAAGCTCGTAGGATCCCCTGCGTGGAAACAGCGGCTTGTCTCTGACTACCCGGAGGACAGGGAGCACCCCAAATAGGAACTTTAGAGGAATTGAAATCTGTTGCCTATTACCGCTAGGAATACTGTTTGCAAGGCACAAGGTGTCTTTTGGTAGTGAGCGCGCTCTGCGCATGCGCAGGTCCATTCGGGAATTACTGCCCAGCAGCCGACTAAGTTGCATTCCTTGAATCTTCGCAGAAAAGACAATTCTTTAATCAGAGTTAGTAATGTGGACAGTACAAAATCGAGAGAGTTTGGGGCTTCTCTCTTTCCCTGTGATGATTACCATGGTCTGTTGTGCACACAGGTGAGCTGCTGTTGTTGAATCTCTCTCTCTCTTTTTTTTCTTGGTATGTTTCTTTTTACGTGTCTGCTGGATCATATATCTTGTTGTTTGGGGGTAGGTGTGCCTGTATCTTTTTATATGTGCTCACAGTTTGTGCTCATTTTGAATACAGTCCCTACTTCTTCCCCTCAGCACCAATGAACCCAGCAACATGTCATACGTGAAAGAGACAGTGGACAGATTGCTCAAAGGATATGACATTCGCTTGCGGCCGGACTTCGGAGGTAACGCTTCATCTTTTTTCAACCTGTAACCCATCCCTAGTTCTCCTTTTCTGTCAAAGATAAATGTCAAAAAAAAAAAAAAAAAAAAAAGGGCATGTCATTTTCGTAAGCGTGCACTATGCCCTGGACACACACACACACACACCCCACACACTCACACACACACCAGATCCCCAGTCTCAGGTGGATGAATCCTCAGGCGGAGGCGACCTTCTCCCGGGCCGACACACCCTCTGCATAGTCACTGCATCATACGTGTACCCACACCTGTTTTCCCAGGCTGTCCCCTGAAAGCGGTGGGGTGGGGGGAGCAGGGAGGGAGCCCGTTCAGAATGGAGTAAGGGCTGGGAAGTCCCCAGACCCTCCCCAGCCCGCTGTCACTGACAGAATCTGTCGCTAATGTGGCCCACCTCCCTGGCAGGGCCCCCCGTGGACGTTGGGATGCGGATCGATGTCGCCAGCATAGACATGGTCTCCGAAGTGAATATGGTGAGTGGCCTCCCGACGGGCCCGGCGGGCCAGCTTACGCAGATGGGAAATGAACCGGTCCCTTTGCCCTCTGCGTTTCACTGGCGGTCACCTCGCCCCTGGGCCCTGGGGTCCCACTCCGCACGCGCTCCCCACTCCGGCACACACACCCGGTCGCTCCTGGTTTGTAATTTCGACACACACGGGCTACTGCGCTGTTCCAGGGGAAACGTGCTCTGCACTATTTTGGGAAGGACGAGTGACTGTTGCTCCGTGGATCTGCTGGGGCGGAGTCTGAGCGTTACTTTAGCTGGGTTTCCCTGCGTGTTCGGATGAGGAGGGCACCATCTGCCGGCAGCTGGGCGGCCTGCACTAGGGTCCCCGGACCGGTGGTCGGCAGCCATCGCTTCCCCAGGCGCGGCCCCGGCAATCCCCATGGCCCTCTCAGTCAGCAAGCCCCGACGCACCAAGGCCCTGCCACCAAGAGCACAGTCGGGGTTTCAAAGTGTTCAGGCACACCAGGTGGCAGGAGCAACAGGCTAAGACAACAGTCCATGCTTGCTAGTAGGAAAAGTGCCCGAGCCTGGGTAGGCTTGTATTGTTCCCTTGCGAGAGGTTATGAATTTGTCTTACTGCATCTTGCAAATTTAAGTTGAAACAAAATAAATCAAGTCCTATTGCTTCACCTTACTCTAGAAACCTAAGCATGCCTAAAAAGCCTGATAATTTAAGGGATGTTGGAAGGGAGAGGGGGCGACAGTAACGCAGCATAGTCCTTTCATTTCAAAGGGGTCAACATTCCTTTATATACATTTTCCTTCTCTTTTTGGAAGCTGTTGCAAAATGAACTGAAAAAGGTGCCACTTTCTCTGTCGGCTGGTTCCGTCCACTGTGTGTAGGAGTTTTCTACTTAGAGTTTCTAACTGTTGCTTCTTGTAAGACGGGGAAAAGCCTGTTGCTTTTCTAGAATCAGCCACCCAGGGATCAGCTAGATCTACGTGAGCAAAATGCCATTTTTATTCCACTTGTAAAAAAATATTATGGCGGCAGAAATTTATAAATCCTGAATAATTTAAAGAGTAAAACCATTTGAGATTGTATCACTCTATGGCTATAAAGGCTATTGAATTGTCTTTCATTTCATTCCTACTGTGTCGTTTTATTTTAATAGGCTAGGGGTTTAAGAATTTTTTTCTTTTCCTTTTTAGGTTATGTTAGGGAAGAAATAAATATGTCTATAGTTTACTGAATAGGAATAGAATAAAAGGTGTGACTATTTAATTTCTGTATTTTGTAGTTGTAGCGGCTCCTGCTTCAAATAGCTTATTTAAAATACTATTTTTAGATGTCTCTGATTGTCGTGCTGGAAAAAGAAACTCAATTTTGAAAACGTAATACACAATGAATATTTTCTCATTGGCAAACTGACTTATTATATTCTGTTTACATACCTGTTAACACTACAAAGTAACCCAAAACACACTATTTAGAAACACTTTGAGGAATGTAATAATATGTGTACATACACAAATTGTGCCTAATCTACACAAATGCAACTGGACAAATTAGACAATGAATTAGCTTAACAAGTTGTATCATGTAGATTAATAATGATAATATTTTCCTTTTCAATCATTTACTTTGGTATCTTGTAAACATCCACAGAAAATTGATAAAATAGAAGATTTAAAAAGCTCAAAAAGCAAATGCAGTCTTTGTTCTACCTTGCCATGCAGAGTGCCATGCTTTTCAGAATTTTAAAAAATATATGATTCTGTTGGCTATATTGACATACCCCTTTTCAGTTTTTTTAAACTCAATTAAATGGGAAGTTGCTGCAATCAACAACCACCATAACAAAAAGTTCCGTAGAATCAGTTGTTCAACTGAATTCATACATAAGCTAAGAACAAGGATTGACTTTAACTGAAATACCACTGGACATTTCTTCCTAATGCTTAAATAATACAGTCTGTTTACTCATGGCAACACGTGTATATGCCCTTGATTTTTCAAAAATATTCACCCAGCTGATAAGCCTTTGAAAATACATATTCTACTACAATCCCCATTACCTTTCCACAACAACGTTAGAGACATGATTAGAAAATAGAAACCACTCAAAGCTGAAAAATGATAAACCTTGATTTACTTGTTCTTTCCTGTTTCTCCTTTTAATGAGCACTATCAACAGAACCCAAAGTTTATTTTATCTTCTCTCATCTATGACAAAACATTGAAATAAATAGATTAGAAATAACTCCAAGAAAAATGGAAATAAAGAGTAATGTTTTTAAAATTGAGGGTTCTGTGTAAACACAACTCAGAGGATTAGCCCACACCCCCAAAAGAGAATTGCTTACTATATGTTGTGATTTTAGATGATATAAATAGGGTCGGAAATCCATGGAAAATAAGACTTATTGCTTATTGCTTTTTGTATTAAGCATGTTTCAGTACCCTGATAGGCCGTAACTTTTGAGTAATTTAATAGAAAATTTTCATCAACATTAAATGACAAGAATATAACAACAAGAATGGACAAGAATATCACAAAAATGGTTTTTAAGAAAATGCAAGTTAAATCAATTTCTAAAACATTGTTTATATTTATGTTTTTGTTCCTTACCATTATTACCCATTCCATGGCTGGGAAAATGAAATAATTGTGCATTAAATTAGTGGATTTGAGAACTAGATTCCATTCGTTTTTGTTTTTTTTCTTTGCTTCCCCAAGTAAAATATAGTCCCTGATTGGTTTTTACATTGTCTGCTTTAAAAACTAAAATCATATCAAGAGTATTTTCTGATTTCTCAATTTGTGAAAAATTAATTGTTTTCTTAATTTTCCACAAATTAAAAAACAAAAGCAATCTTTACATAGTAAAGAATCTCTATAGTCAAGAATCATTGGTTCTAAGCAGTGAATGCAAAAATTGTGAAGAATAATTCCAATGCAGATAAACATATCTATTTGAGAACAAGACTTTTCATGCAGTAATATTATTGATTAAATTAGAAAGGATTGTTCTTCTGGCATCACGGGATATATTGTTTGTGTGATAGCAACTACATACTGTTACCATTTTCTAAACTGTCATCTTAAAAAACCACCATGATTTCCATTTATGTAGTATAACCTTCAAACCTTGTCTTTTAACAGTTTCTGCCAAGGCATAGACACACACACACACACACACACACACACACACACACACACGTACACACACAGAGGACTGATTAAAGATGAACAGGAGGCAGTCGGAGTAAATGGAGACAAGAGCTCCCAGAAATTGTCCTTAACATAACCACTAACATCTGCTACTATAAAGCCAGTAAGACACAGACAGTAGTAGGCAAGTTTTCTCTTCAAACAGTAGTTTGGGGAAACATGATATTAACTATCTTCTCACAAGTAGTTGAACTCTTGTATTTCAAATTCCAGTGACTTAGCTGTTCCTTCTTATTCAAGAGGTGGATCCTGATTACCAAGTAGGAGTTCCAACCAGGCAGCTCTCTGTAACTAATCTGAAGACACGATGGTCCATATGGCCATCCCTAGAAGACCTTACATCGAATGAGTCCTGACTCAACGCAGGATTCAATCCAAGCTGTTCCCAATATGAGATAGCTATCATGGATTCATTGTCTTTCCTTCCTTCTTGCATGAATAAGTATAACAGTGAATGCTCTTACAGACATTACAGTGAACAATGATGACAAAAATGAAAATGAGCCAATTTTATAAATAATGCTTAAGGAAAAACAAATTTAATTTCCCAAATATCCACTTAAAATTCATTGTTTCTGTTGTTGTGGTGGTTATCTTAATATTAGACTCTGGAAACGTCTGGTACATACTTCAGTTATATCTCATTACTATCACTGTGTGACTCAAAACAGTAACTGCTTGTCAGATTCCCAGTCCCCACATGCATTTCTCTAGGTCAGTGCTTCTAAATCTTTAACATATAGGTGAATCACTCTGGGATCTTATTAAAATGCAAATTCTGAATCAGAGGTGTGGGATGGGGCCTGACATTCTGCATTTTCCTGGGCAATGCTGATTGCTGGTATGTAGATTGTACTTTGAATATCAAGGTAGTACATTATCCTAAGATATAGCTTCATTAAGAAATTGGCTGGGTGCAGTGGCCCCCACCAATAATCCCAGCACTTTGGGAGGCCGAGGTGGGCAGATCACTTGAGGTCAGGAGTGTAAGACTAGCCTGAACAACATGGTGTGAAACCCCGTGTCTACCAAAAGTATAAAAATTAGCTGGGTGTGATGGCACGTGCCTATAGTCTCAGCTACTCTGGAAACTGAGGCATGAGAACCACTTGAACCTGGGAGGCTGGAGGTTGCAGTGAGCCAAGATCGTGACACTGCGCTCCAGCCTATGCAATAGAGCAAAACAGTCTAAAAAAAAAAAAAAGAATAAAAAAGAAATGAACATTTTTTTTTCCTTTCAAATTTCTTTAGGAATGTTATTATTTAAGTTGCAGGTAACTGTTCTCTAAAGAGAAAGTTAATTCCATAACTGATAATGATGATGATGATGATGATGATGATGATGATGATGAGGAGGAGGAGCAACAGGACAAAGGCAGGATCCTGGAGATGGGAGATAGGACTTGACCTAAACTAATGAATAGTCTTCTTATCTGTATTAATACCTGTGAATCAACCAATCTCAAATGATGGCAATGAAAACATTTCCAAGTACAGTAACTCCACAATACTATTCTGTTGCTTTGCAGGGAAACCTATGACTTTTTTCTTCAGGATAAAGAACATTGCAAATTGTTTTTCCACCACTGAGGAGCTAGCAACAAGTTTGTAAAATAGCCTAAACATACTCTTGATGCTGTCAGTAAATTCTCTGAGGTTTTAATAGAATTTCCTTTGCAAACAGAACAAATAGGTGAGTACCACTCAAAAGCAGAAAGAAGTATTAGCTAACATATAAATACATTTTTTTCTTATATGAGTAATCACAAAAAGTTTTTCTTTTAGGTTGTGGGTTACAATTCTATAACATCTGGAGAGACTGAGGAAGGAAAATCTTCCCTTTGCCTGTTTGGAGATTTTATATATATATATATATGTATATATTTTTCACTCTAAGCCACATTAAAGCAAGGCTATCTAGATTGTTTTAAAGCTGGAGTTTACATTTGAATGCCTGGGATTTTAGGATTGTAGAATCAGACTGGGTATTATAGTGTGAAATACAATGAAAACGAATAGTAACTTACTGAACATTTTCCATGTGTGAGATACGGTTATCAGTGCTTTACATTAATAGCGATTTAATCCTTTACTTAGTGCTATGCAATTCTTACCCCTCCCCACCTCCATTACAGATTGAAAAACTGAGTTTGAGAGAGCGAGAAATGTTGTTAGGTTAAATAACTTACTCAGAATTTATACAGCTAGTGAATGGCAGAGCCAAAATTTGAAACCAGGCAGCTTGTCTCTAGGTTCTGGCTCCTAACTACTAGACTAGTAAAAAATAGCCTAGGACTTTGAGTGAGTAATTTGGCTTCTCTAGGTTTCTCCTTTGTAAAATGAAGCCAAATTACATAAGTGCTAAAACTCTTTCCAGTTCAAATACCCTATCATAAAAACTTTGATATTTAAAGATTGTAGACTCCATCAAAATAAAAAATCTTTGTCTCCATCTTACTCCCTTACTAGATTGTCTTAAATACCATATTCTCCTGATAGGTGAGTCAATCACAAGAATTTATTGAGTTCCCACTGAGTGCAAATGATGTAGCCTCCTGGGAACATTGAAGTACTGATTGTGTGCAATCTAGGGCCTCTTGAATTATTATTTTAATTAGTCATGGCATCCTTATCCAACTTTTTCTTCCTTAAACACATTCGCAAAGACAGTAACAAGAAGCAATGATCTTCAAAATGAAATTGGCCTAATGCCTGGTTTATATTCTACTGAACATTAGAGCCAAGACTAAACTGGAATTATTTCTACCTGGAGCTGTCCATTGTATTTAAACTGGGAATACTGCTCCACCACAACTGAAGTAATATTTTTTTTCAACACTTGTTGTGAAACAGAAGGAAACTGTTATTTTTGAAGATCTGAGCATCCCAAAGGATTTACCAAAACCACCTAAAATCCTTCCATGAGGTGACTGAGAAATAAGGGGTAAACCCAATGTGTTTGTCTTAGCTGAATATCATTTAATGTCCATTCTTTCAGTTTCTGATGATTTTTGTCTTGGCAGGCCCCCAAATACTTCATAGTACCTTCAAAACACTCATGCACAAATGAAATCTTGCATTATTGAGGAAAGTAAAACATTTCAAAAGAGAAATGAACGTTTCAAATGTTTCCAGTTGGCTTAGGTTTCAGTGAGGGGGCTCA